TCATGCCAGAAGTAAGCACAGTTCAACCAAATGGTAAACTAGGAACAGATTTGGCTGTAGGACTAGGGGCTGGGGCAGGAATTGTTCTAATTTGTGTCATGCTGGCAATGTACATTATGAAAAGAAAGTTTTTTTCAGCATCAGCACCTACCAATGAAGATAGCAGAGCAATCTTAGAACCATCAAGTAAGCAAAACAATTTCTTTAGGAGTATAAATAGGGACTGGTCTTCTCCCTGCTCACTCCATTCCTTACATATGCATGGAGGGTTTTCATTTTAGCAAGGTCATTGTTGTTGTCATCATTAATACTTTACTATAGCCAGCATTTTCGTCGATCTTTCTCAAACTTGGAAATGTTAAAAATCAATGTATTGTTTTTCTTCAGCCCACTTTTATTGTGATTGGTTTATATAAAATCAAACAAAAATAATTAATTTTATAAATGCATGATTACTATTGACCTCATCATTATTGTATAATACCATCATTGGTTCCAGTTCAGACAAAGTCTAAAAATTCTCATCTCATCTCATCTCATCTCATGTACACTGTTAGTTCTGTCCTGTTTTTTCCCTAATAATACATAAATTGCCTTTGCTGCCATATACATATAAGATGGTCCATGAACAATGACATGTTTATATGATTTTTTCAGTGATTGTATGTTTTCATTTCAGTCTGTGATTCAGAAACGTTTCCTCCTCCTCCTCCTCCACCACTATCGTATACATACTATGAACCCACAAATGAAGAGCTGAGTCGTCGTGCATATGACAATAATAGAGCGGCCACTAGAGATGATACGCGAAGTGAAACTATTGAAGGACAATCAGCAAGTGTACATAGTGATGGTTACACTTGTCAGACAGACATGCTGGATTTCAACACTGATGAAACCGTTGATCCAGTATGTTTAACTGGTGCATCTTACGATCATGACCCACGATGCCATGCAGGTAACTTTGACACCGACATGCAAGTTTATAATGATACCTTAGAGTTTGATCACCAGCAGCAAGTCTTCAGTGCGACCTTTGACCCGGTTTACTATCCTCAAGTCTTTGATGGTAACTTTGACTATCAAGGAAACAATGACAGAACAGGTAACATGTGTTTAGATGATAACGTCACATGTAATAATACAAATGAAGATAACAGTGGGGAGCGGCATGACTCTGGTCTTGGTGCTGACAGTATCAGTATAGATATATAATTATCATTCTTTATAAGATTCCATTTAAGATCATAGATATATATATATTCTACCATTGACAAATTTCTGTAATTGTGAGTTACGAACATATGTTGACTAGTCATGAAGAAGATAGCAAAAGGGATTTTGAGTCTCAAACCCCAGAAAATCAGGTAAATCAGGCAATAGGATGCATTTCAGTGGACCATGCCTTTTGATAAGAACTGGAGAGTGAAAAATAGCTTCCCTAAAAGCACTGAGGCAAGTTATAGAAATCATTTCAATGTATCAGGAAATAATTTTGCATATGTTTTTATGTGAATTTTTTAAGCTCCTCTTGAAAAAATTTTCGAGTGAAAATCATCCTTGAAAAATAGATACAGACTGTCGCCCAAATAAGACCAGTCATTATGTGTGTTATAACAAATGACAAACACACACAAGTACTAATACATGCTAGTCTGATGAATCATTGCGTTTTCCAAATAATTCAAAACACTAACTACGCAACACGATTTCAAAATATGCAATACTGATATTTGTGTATTTTTTATGTATCAGATTGGATTCTATGAGTTGTCTGTTAATGTTGTGTTTGCAAGTCTGTTAGTTTGGAGCAAAAAACCTAAGGTGTGTGGTAAGAGAAGATGGTTGAGAGAGGGACGGGCGTTGGGTTTTGAGTATAGTTCTTGCGTCATGGGGAGTTAAGGAGGGTATTTTTTTTATACTGTCAGTTTTATGTCCATTTTCTATTGTTTTTTCATTGTTTACCATTATTTATCATCGACTTGATATAAATAATTCTACATGTACCAAAGGTTGAATGCTAGCTGGGTAATTAAAATTTTTACACATTTGACATTTTTAGCTCCGCTGTCGACTTTGTCGAGCGGAGCTTATCATATGAGTGATTGTCCGTCGTCGTCGTCGTCCGTGTCAATGTTTTACTTTTTCGACTTCTTCTTGAAAACTACAAGCCTGAATGCTTTGATACTTGGTGTATATGTACCTTGGGTAGACCTCTCTTAGGTTTGTTCATTTCATGTTGATATCTTCAATTCTCTAATTTTGGTGAATATTTTTGTCATTTTTGGTAAAAAGTGATATTTTCGACTTCTTGTTAAAAACCGCAAGTGCAATTACTTTGATATTACATATATAGGTACTACATGTGGACCTCTCTCAGATTTGTTCATTTTGTAATGATATCTTTAATTCTCTAATTTTGGTGAATATTTTTGTCATTTTTGGTAAAAAGTGATATTTTCGACTTCTTGTTAAAAACCGCAAGTCCAATTGCTTTGATACTACATATATAGGTACTACATGTGGACCTCTCTCAGATTTGTTCATTTCGTGATGATATCTTCAATTCTCTAATTTTGGTGAATATTTTTGTCATTTTTGGTAAAAAGTGATATTTTCGACTTCTTGTTAAAAACCGCAAGTCCGATTGTTTTGATATTACATATATATATATAGGTACTACACGTGGACCTTTCTCAGATTTGTTCATTTTGTGATATCTTCAATTCTCTAATTTTGGTGAATATTTTTGTAATTTTTGGTAAAAAGTGATATTTTCGACTTCTTGTTAAAAATCAATAGTTCAATTGCTTTGATATTACATATATAGATACTACATGTAGACCTTTCTCAGATTTGTTCATTTTGTGATGATATCTTCAGTTCTCTAATTTTGGTGAATATTTTTGCCATTTTTGGTAAAAAGTGATATTTTCGACTTCTTGTTGAAAACTGTAAGTCCGATTGCTTTGATATTACATATATAGGTACTACATGTGGAACTCTCTCAGATTTGTTCATTTTGTGATGATATCTTCAATTCTCTAATTAATTTATTTTGGTGAATATTTTTGTAATTTTTGGTAAAAAGTGATATTTTCGACTTCTTGTTAAAAACTGTAAGTCCGATTGCTTTGATACTATTCATATTGTTCATTTTCTAATGATGTCTTCAGTTCTTTAATTGAAATGTGCATTGCTAACAGCGGAGCTATCTCAGCTGCTTGTTTAAATTTATTGTTTTTATGGAAACTATTTCAAGAAACCTATATTACATGTGGTGTATGGAATATTTAGCATATTCTCTGTGAAAAAAAGTTTAAACTAATCAATTTCACAACAAAAAAATTAGCAGATGTTTCATGAAAGTTGTATGATTTGTATTCATAATGTATTCAAGGTGTTGTTGGTAAGGGAGTTCATCTATCTTCATATCTATTCATGATCTGTTTTCATTAATATGTCGCAAAAATTATTGCGTATTCTAAAGGATGCTAATAAGAAAGTCAAGGATAAATGAACGCAACACATCTCTGGAATACACCTACCGTAATGTGTTTGCTGTTTGAAGCAATATGTCTAGAGATTTTTTTTTTTAGCTCCACTGTCGACTTTGTCGAGCGGAGATTATCATATGAGTGATTGTCCGTCGTCGTTCATGTCAACTTTTTACTTTTTCGACTTCTTCTTGAAAACTACAAGCCTGAATGCTTTGATACTTAGTGTGTATGTACCTCAGGTAGACCTCTCTTAGACTTGTTCATTTCATGATGTTTCCTTTAATTCTCTAATTTTTTGGTAAAAAGTCCGATTTCTTTGATGTTACATATATAGGTACTATGTGTGGACCTCTCTCAGATTTGTTCATTTCGTGATGATATATTCAATTATCTAATTTTGATGAATATTTTTCAAATTTTTGTTGAAAAATGATTTTTTTGAATTCTAGTTGAAAACAGCAAGTTCGATTGTTTTGATACTACCGGTATACATATTGTTCATTTTCTAATGATATCTTCTGTTCTTTAATTGCATTGTGCATTGCTAACAGCGGAGCTATCTCAGCCAACTGGCTGCTTGTTGAATGTACGTTTCTGTGCAAAATTGCGCCACAGCTACAATTTGCAAAACAGTGACATTCAGTTTCTTAAAAATGACAGCTGCATTGAAGAGTATACCAAGTACTGTAAAATAATTTATTTTAGCTGGAATCAATTTTCACTGACAAGATTTTTTTGGTGTTTTTTATGGAATAAATTTTCACTGATTTTTCACGAGTTGAATGTAAAATATATATATATACTTTTAATCGTTGTATTTTATTTTCACTGAATCATTCCTTCAGCGAAAATATTGAAAATTAATTCCAAGCGAAAATAAAGTATTTTACAGTAATCAACTGCCGCCAGTTTACTAAAAATATGATTACATGATCTTTAATGTCATGTTATTCACTCACATGTCAGTCATATTCCAAACACTTGTCAATAACATTAAACTGGCTTTCACCATGAAGTGTTGTGCAGTTGGAGCGATGCAAATTATATAATTATTGCTTTTGTTTTAAATTGTTATTTTTAGTATTCATTTTTTAATGTGCTTACACAAGTACCGGGTAAGTTAGAATGTTGTATTGCCAATCATAATTGTTTCTAATATCAGTCAGAATTTTTCAAAATTAACTTTATTATCAATATAAACAGATTTTTAATCATTTCCTAGTAGCTATTATAATATATGATCTGAAATGAAGTCAGAACATACACCAACAGAGAGATGGTGGTTTTCATGATCACTTTATATCAGCACCAGCTTTTAAAATTATTGAATACATTTGTGATAGAAAATACCCTGGAAAATGATTTGAGTTGGACACTGCCATCTGAAAATAAGTCTGTTTTGTAGCAGGCCTGTCTGGAAACCCTTGTGGGTAATTCAATGCCAAAATTCATTGATATTTAATTGTTTGTATCGAAAACATTTCGTGGATGGATTCTGTAACATGGAGCTAATTAGAATAATTACCGGTACATTGTCATTGTTGGACCAAATATTGTGTGCATGGGAGACAATAAAACATGCATTACAGAAACTGAAAGTTTAAGAAATTTGACATTTTCAGTTTCAATATATACAGTATAAGGTATTCAAATTATGAAAATACAAATATTTACTTAATAGGTGTCTTTATATATCAACCAAGACCTGTATTGTAAAATATTTGCACACTGTATACTTACCAGTATTAAATTGTTTGATTATAGTATACTTGTGTTTTAATGTTGTAAATAGTTGTATATATATATATATATTCAGATCTCGTTTCTAGTAATACAATTATACAAGATGTGTTTCTATATATTATTTTATATTTGATATGTATTTTTATTAGACTAGATCTATAAATCTGTAATATATCTCAAATTTAATCTGTTCATTTTTATTGGTTTATAAATATAACATATTACTCTATCCCAGTCATGGTGTTTATGAACATAAGGCTCAAAAGATTGTCCTGAACAAATTGTTGTTTATGGGGGTAACTAAGGTGCCTTTTTCCCGATGCATTTGCTGACCGTAAATAAATTTTTTTTTTTTTTAAACTTGCATACTCTGCACTGTCATGATTTTGGGTTGTAATCAATTTTCAACAAATATTCCTTGTATTTATATTATTCCAGATTTGTAAATGCTGCTATTTATTTACAATGTGTGCACCTTGTGTATTAATAAAATGTACAAACCTCATTCATTTCTGATTTACTTATCTGAAGTCAATGTTGAATTTTTCCATACGATCAACTATGTGATAATTGAGTGATATCGAAGTTTGAGAGATTATTAAAACTTGCAAATGTCCTTACATGAAAATACATGTGGTACAATGTCATCAGTCTTTGTGTGACCATACCATGTGATGGTGTTTGCAGTTTTAACCCAGTCTTGCCGTGGTTGTAACTCTATTGTGTGTTTGCATGTTATATCCCTCTTGTGTTTGGGTATTCAAAAACTACCAGGTATAACCCGGTTATGTGGGAGTGTTTGCACATTATAACCCTGTTCTCTGTTGTATTGGAGTGTTTGCACATTATAACCCTGTTCTCTGTTGTATTGGAGTGTTTGCACATTATAACCCTGTTCTCTGTTGTATTGGAGTGTTTGCACATTATAACCCTGTTCTCTGTTGTATTGGAGTGTTTGCTAGTGATAAACCT